TAGGATTCCGTTACAGTGATAACATTCCTCCCATGGTAGAATACTATTATGTCAACGAAATAAACTAGTTGAGTTCTGTATCAGAAATTTATTCAGATTCTTACGCGTATCATTTTCAAACATTATTGAAATGTACACCTACTTAAAGTTTTAAGTTATCCTGTTGTGAACGTTAAACACAAGACGCTAACAAAATGCAGAGTCTTCTTACCACCCTAAGCAACAATGCAAGCATGTTCGGGATGCGGTTCTCACCCTCAAAATGCAAAATTTCGCTTCAAGATTGGGTTGCATCGGCACCTGAACTAGTGATAGGGAGTGAAGCCGTTGAGCGTGTAGACCGCTTCACTTATCTCGGGAGTCTGATCAGTGCTGACGGCCTGGTGACTGATAAAATCTCAGCACGGATTCAGGAGGCTCGACTGGCTTTTGCCAACTTGCGTCATTTACAGTGAAGGCTAGATATCCGTTTGATGACTAAAGGACGAGTGTACTGCGCTGCAGTTTGCTCCATACTAATATACGGATGCGAAACATGGCAGATGAGAGTAGAAGACATTCGCAGATTGCTTGTCTTCGATCATGGGTGTCTGCGAAGCATTGCTCATTTATCTTGGGACAACCGAGTAAGCAGTGCTATTGTTTGGAAACAGGTAATAGGTAGGGATGGCAGGGCAACAGATGAAGTATTAAAACTTCATCAGTTGAGGTGAACGGGACATTTGTTGCGTTTGACCAACCACTCTTTGCCTCGTCGAGCAACGTATTGTGCTGTAGGAGTAGGCTGGAAGAAAGGTAGGGTTGGCCAAACCGAAACATGGCAAAAGTGCATGAAGTCGCTGACAAGTGGACTGCGTTATGTTGGTAGATGTAGGCTCTCTGGTTGGGGTCCGCGAGACTAAAGTCACCGATGGTTAGAGACCTTGAACTAGATGGTTCGAAACCGTTTGTAATGGCGCAAGTGAATCCATTCTTTGTATTCTCGCAAGTTGTAGCCTTCTGAATTCCTCATCATCTCTATCTTTCGCTTTATTAATTTATTTTACTGAATTATACTTCCCGAATCATATCTTTGAACTCTAATCTTCTCCATTACTGTTAATACTTCTACTATCTCTACCAATGTGGGATTTGAATTGACAGTTGTGTCTCTGTGTTAATCCGGAATGTCAACGTGAACTGTTGTACTTACGTATGAAGTTCTGCGTTGTATCTGTCTGAATGTTAAACACTGTATTCGATCAATACTGAGATGCTGGTTCACGAAAATCAAAAGTCTCGAAAGGGAAAAAAGTGCACAATGAATTACGTTGATGACCAAGTACAAACTGGAGTAAAACTGGTCAAATTCAAATGATAGTCTTCCATAACATGAACTGAAAATGTGTATTGAATATCGACATGGATAGTTCAACAATTAATTGTCAATGTATAGGACATTTTTCTTGAGAATTTTAACGACTAAGGAATAAAATTTTGATAAATGACGGTGTCATCCAGTCTTCTTAGAATGATATAAAGAATTCGTTTATAATTTAGGCAGTGATCATGTTTCAATGTATTTAAAACCTTTTAAAGTATAATTGTAGTCGGCGTTGTACATGAATTAATTATTCTTGAGTTTATTTATTCAAGCCAGCCAATCAGAAGTAAACTGTGATCTGCCTCTTATTTGCATCTGTTGATATCCCAAGAACATATTTGAACAGTGAGACAAAATTATCGAGACAAATGCCAGAGTCATCAAAGTGGTTAAAGTGTTTCTGGTGAGGAAGACAATGATAAGCCTTTAATGTTTTAATTAAAAAATGTTGGAATGAATAAACAGTCAATCAGTCAGCTGCAACGTAGAATTTCGTACGTACGCACATTAGTTCAAGTTTCCATGCCATCTCAGCATAGCGAAATTAAATGATCAATTGAAATACAATAGTGATAGATGTAGTGGAACTGTTAGCGGTAATGGAAAAGATTAGCGCTTGAAGATGTTATTCAAGCAGTATAATCCAATAAAATGAGTTAAGAAAGAGAAAGGTGACTAGAAATCCAGAAGATTAGGATTTGAGAGAAGACAAAGAATGGATTCACCTGCCCTATCGCAAATAATTTTGAGCCATGTTTTCCAGTCTCTAACAATCAGCGACTTTCGTCTCGCGGACCCCAATCAGGTAGAATACATCTGTTAACATGACTCAGTCCACTTGTCAGTGACCTCATGGAATAGTGCCATGTTTCGGTGTGGCCGGTACTAGCTTTCTCCTAACCTAGTCGTACATCAGGAAACATAACTTGACGAGGCAGTCGGTGGTTGGGCATGCGTAGCACATGTCCCAATCATCTCAACTGATGAGGGTTTAGTACCTCATCAATTGACTTGCTATCCTTATCTTATACCATTTTCCTAACAACCACTCTACCCTCTCCACTGTACCAATATATACGAGCACTGCTTCGAAGACATTTATAATCGAATGCTAATAACCTAGAATATCCTCCACTCCTATTGGCCAAATTTCACGGCTATGTAATAGAAGAGAGCCAAGTGCTGTGCGGTAAACCCATCGTTTGTTTGGTAGACCGATATCTCGCCTACGCCATAAGCGACGCGAATTGACAAAATCTCGTCGAGCTTTCAGTTATTTTTAAAACAAGAATGTTATTCAGGTAATAACTATAACTGCTTGAGCTAAATAAAAGTATTTTTATCTAAAAATTTATGTTGAGTCCCCAATACAAAGTGTGTTGCTAAATATGAATCCTGTCTAGTCAGACTTAAATTATGTTGAATGGTAGTTTTTATTACTTATTAACCTTACTTTTGATCCCCTAAGTCAGAGTCGACTTAATATTTCGTGCCATATATTTTAGTGATGTCATCAGGATTTCATGGTCATACTGCGCTAATAAATGTGAATGTCCAAGTTGACATTTTCAATTCTCTAATTCCAGTCAAACTTCATTACACAACATCCATCGGTCAGCATCTGTGTGACCTGTTTAAAAATGTAGTGAAGCTTCATTTATAGCGTCTAGTTAATTGGAAACTAATCCAATCGACTTAAACTATCATTTTAATTAGATAGAAATATTTTAATTATAAATCTTATTACTTAATTAAACTTTTGCAGGTTGTTTTAAACACAGTGACTGAATTACTGAAAGGTTTAAAATATCCACTTATTTAGCATACACATTAATATAAATAAAACCCCGTACACGATGGTTAAAAAAATCAGTGATAAACAGCAGAAATATGAATGTGCGACTGGGATGAATAACGATTTAATTAGCTAGTATATATATATATATATATATATATATATATATATATATATATATATATATATATATCCTAAGCAAAATATTCTACCCTATCATATGTGGCATAGAACAATCGTCATTGGTTTCGTTACTTGGGTTTTTATAATCAAGTCTGACCCTCGATAACCTTAATTTGAAAAAAAACATACTTAAAGGATTGTTTGGATTGAAAATATTTATAATACCTCAGTTGGTTTTGAATCGTAGACTATCGATTATGGATTTTTTATCACTTAACTCTAGTAGTATTCATCAATATATATCATCTATAAGAATTGCAGTAAACGTTTCGAAATCGCACCAACGAATCTAACCACCTAGAGAAACATTCGTTTAATCGCCTATTTACCATAGACCACAACACTAAATGAAATCATATCACTATTAAATAAACAAAACGAGCTGTAACTGAGAAGAGTATTTGTAATATAATATTGATTAGTCTGATTTAAGAAGATGGAATCGTGCTTGTAGACCTAATTTAAAATCGTTCAACTGAGTATAATAGTGTTGATGAAAATATCTTTTCTACGCTGAATAAATACTTTAACTAAACAATCATTAATTGAGAAGTTTATTTGCGCAACAAAGCACTTTAAGATGTCTATCTTTTTTTATTTATGGAAGAGAAATATTAGATTATCATTGAAACACAAGTATTCTGAAAACCTAATTACTGTGAATTTATAATTAGAAATTGAAACTTTCAGATTGATTGAAGTAACTCTACAAAATATCTATTATATATTATTTGGTATTTGGTGCTTTTTAAAATGATTTTGTTTAGCAATTAAATTACTTTTAAGGTATGTCTAGTTTCTAATATTTCTAATCAATGAGTATCATATTGGGTATATATATATATATATATATATATATATATATATATATATTTAAAACTTGCTTTCAGACTGCTGAAAATCATTAGGCAAATCAATGAAAGCTTTTAGTCAATTTTTTGTTTGTTTGACATAATCATAAGATGCTTCAAGTAAATACATATTCGTTAGACTTTATATTAAACAAACAAGTGAATAAGCCGATTTCTATTAGATATTACAGGATGTTGTATAGTTTATTCAGTTTGAAGTTGTACAACATGGACTACTGAGTGAGGCTAGACAAAGTTGTTTCAAGACATGATGATTGTAAGTTTCGTCCTTAGTGGAGTCGTCTGTACATGAGGAATATTTTACAAAGATAAGAACGTTATTCATTCATTCATTCATGTTCTTCACTAATTATCTGACGTAAGTAAGTCCATAATAAGAAACTTACTAGTTAATTATGCAAATGTTTCGGTTGCCTACTAGTTCAGCTAATAAGAGTTTCATCTTCATTTGTTTTAAGCAAGAGTATCAAAACCTGTCCTTCAAAATACTTAATTTAATCACATAAGTAAATAAATTACGAATATCGTTTAGCTGCAATCGTCAACAAGGTCTACTAACTAAGTTCAAAGTCCTTGATTAACTGATTTCCAATATTCAGCAGTGAAACTGATTCATTGGATTGCTAAATCACTTTACCTTACACATACAGTATCATTCCGTTTATCACTTAGTCTTGATTATAACTAGTTATCTCGTTATCGCTAGGTAAATTGATTTTGTATTTATATAAATATGAAGATTTCATTACATACACAGAGTTAAAATTTATTTATTTTCAAAACTTACCAGCATAAAATTGACAATAGTCACCAATGTAATCTTCAGTACATCTGAATAAAGAAAAATGTGAGAAATTTTTCGAGATTAAGTTTTTCGTAAACATAAGTTAACATATATTACTTTATGAATATAGATTACAAACAATTTCATGATATTTTATCACTGTACACAATAAATGTTGAGAAATTCAAAACTGGCCAGTTAAATGAGGATGATAAGGAGTTAGTTTTTCGTTGTAACTATTGTAGCCGTGCATACTAACTACAGCTGTTACAATAAACTGAGGCAATTTGACAAATGCATTATTTGCTCACAGTAAAACTGTTTATGTCACCTATCTGAGCCTAGGTGTAACTTTTCTGCCAATGACCGCTTACGTGCATAATGGATTGTGAATATTAGCTAAATTAATTCACTAACCGTTGAGGAATACAAACTCTAGTATCAGGATATTGTCGACTTAAGATAGTGAAATTCTGTTGGAAATATATGACATAACGACAGCTTTATTGTGAATGTTTACTACTTACAGCATGAATATTAGCCGTTATGAAACTAAAATAAACGACTTGACTCTGTCAGTCAGTAAGTTACAAGGTAGAACCCCCTACGTAGGCACATTAACTCAAGTTACCATATCAAGGTAGTAGTAGAGAAACGGCTTTACTACCAGTATTGTATCATTATTCATAGATTTTTCGGTTCATTTTAACATGGCAGAATTGTTAGTGCAAATTTGGAAAGAACCCCTGTTAATATATTCGCATACAACTTTTTACTTATACTGTTCATTTAACATAGAGGCTTTTAATAACAGAAACATTTGAAGTGAAAATTTAAATACAAGATTATGTACTACGTTTCAGAAATAGATAAATAAATATTTTAGTCAAACAAACATTTGGATTTATGCATGCATCTCAAGTAAATTGTAAGTCACCAATGAGTGATTATGTAAAACTTGTTGCAAAAATATCACTTAGTCACAGTCAGTTAATTTTATTAGAGTATATTTTACACAGAGATATCGATGTTATTAGGGAAACACTCAACATGCACGAATGAATTTGTTCCTTGATTGACACTATCATACAGTCAGGCTACTTTTGTGAATGCTTAATAAATAAATAAAAAAAGAATTACTATTTAACCTTAGTCACAAATCATATGAATGATACTGTTTGAGTTGATTTATTGTTGGGTTACCATGGTAGCAAGGCACATTGAGAGTAACGTAAACTCAGTACCGAAATAAATAAACGATAGCAAACAAAAATCAATCAATAGCTTCTTTTGATTTTTACTATCTATCTATTAGAAACACGATTCAAATTATTGCTTTTGTATAAATAATCAATGAAACTGACATAGTTAAGTATGCGGTTACACAAATACCATTCTCTTTTAAATGAAAGAAACAATGAATGGACTGTTTGTTCTTGTTTAATGTCATGTCAACGATATCTCATTTACAGATAATGTGATATTTAAGGTTGTTGAGAGACTATGATCAGTTCATAGTTATTAGGTATGTAACAAGCTAGCGCTAGATAGATAAATTTATTATTCTCATCACTTCATGACACATTCCGATTGATTATTTCTAAAAAAGGTACCTATTTCGACACAGTCATAACCTGGTTAGTTAGAGACTGTAAAGATTAGAAAATCTGATATATGGTCAGTAATTCAAATAAAATGTGGTTAGATTTACGGCGAAATACATCGTTTCCAAGTAATAGTACAAATGAAGTTAGGATTGATTGTGATGTAAAACAAAGTTGTTAATGTTGATATAACTAAGATGACGCGTTAACTTGAATAAGCTCATATGTTAAATGCGATAGCGACATCAATGATCAGAATAAATATAAGTCAGATCGGGTAGGAGAAATAATAATGCATTTAGCGAATTCGATTCAATTTTTAGTGGATTATGTCAGGTCATACTATTGTTAGGAGAACAAATGGTTGAGTGGGCCTAGGTTTAGCTACGATAAGTGCTTCTTTTGCACACAAAGCCACGGCTTTTTAATCCTAACACTTTCAACCACTTTCAGAAGTTTGAGTTGAACCGACTTTGGTATAAAATTACTCAACCATGTATTTCGGCCTAAAACAATTTTAGTTGAACTATTAATTTAAATATATAATTGTAGAACCTGAAGAGAATTTATTGAAAACAAATACTTTTTTGTTCATATATTACTGTCTTTTAATATGATCTGTGAAGATTTTGAGATGTTTGAGAAAATTCGTAGCTCAGGTGGGTGATTATGGTGTAGTTTGCAAAGATTATTTCAATTTTTGGATAATTCTCTTTACGGAATGAAAATATAATTACAGTTAATTATGTTGCAAATAAGCAGCAAAAAGACTTTTTGATCGACAGTTTGGCTATTATGTTTGATTGTATCCGTTCCTAATCAATAATAATAATAATAATATCTGTTAGCAAGTAACCTCTATGTAAAGGTATGGACTTCATAAAATATGCAATTTAATAATCATAATAGAACACACATAAAGAAATTTGTAAATGTCCAACATGCGACCTAATTTTCCGATGATGTTCCTCATGGTTCTTAAAATTAACACTAGTCTGTATTTTGAAGGTAATCTTAAGAAGGACTGTGTAATCAGATAATTTGTGGTGCATTAGTCGTTATTTTGTTCAGAAAAAAAAAAGCCGACACCTGATCCATAAATAGTCATCATTTTAAAACAAAATTGTAGTAATTTTTATATCCCGTGTTTCAACTTCATATCGAAAGAATGTATATACCTTAATCGATCATGCTGATTTTATCACATGACAGAATGTCTTACCGTAATACATATGTTACTTTAAATAAAACGGGTAGCTAGATACTTGTCGAATGTATACCATTTGCTCAAATCCACACGATAAAAAAAACGTATTGATAGTATTCGTTAACAATATATTGTTAACCTTCTTTCTGCACAATGAAATTATTAACTATCGACTAATATGAAGTTAAGTGTAACGATTATACTCGATAATTTAGTGGAAATACTACTTACAAACCTCAGGAATATTCGATTAATTTGAAGATGATGAATGGTACTTTCTTTAAAGAAACGATCAAGCTTGACAAGTGAGGTATGTTTTAGCAAGGTACCTTATTAAAATGATAGATGAGGTGGAATTTTAGTCAGATGAAACGATTCCATCGAATAAAACATTGAATGTAAGTATGAAGATTTTCAGTCCAACTGATAAATACCGTCCGGTTCACTTCATCTACCATGGATTATTGAAAACCCACAGAAACGTAAACTTCAAACTTACTATTTGACAATGATAAAAGTAATTACATTTTAACCTTCCGATAATAATACACATTACATTCTTCGTATTCATTACAATGGTACAAGTTTTTAATGCTTGATATTGATGAAAGGGAACTATAAATGACTTTTGACTTGACATCAACAATTAGTCAACATTAGGCCAGTGATAGAGCTGATAATGCTGGAGGAAAATTTATACTCATCCTATTGGAAAGTGCAGTATAAGAAGGGTTGGACACTGTGTTTTTGAGAGTCAGCGACAATTATACTTGAATCACAGCAGGTGAAATTATTTGATCAATAAGAGGGAAAAAGTAGTAATAACGTATCAGACAATATGGTCGAACTGATATCTTCCTTGAATTCAACCACTCGGAAATTATAAACTACTTGTTTTATTGGCAGAAATTATGCTGTAAGCAACATGCCTCAGTTCTGTCTACTCATCTTCCAAGAAAAGTACTAAAAATCACCGAAGTCAAGTTTTAAAACTTTGCAGGACGAAAATGTAAATAATATTTTTCGAGAAATGAAACCCGGTATTCGAACCCTCAAAATAACTAGTTATACTACAAAACAAACTCTTTTATGGCAAGCAACTTCTTTGGAAAAGTTGTCATTAGTTCACTGTTATCAGGGTTACGGTTTCATAAGAGGTTGATAATGGTTGACTAAAGATGTTTGGGTTTCATTAAAATCATGAGTCTACCGATTTTAGATCATCATAAGGAACCTGGAAACAATGGATGTCCATTTCGTATGAGACAAATCAGCAGTGCACTTGCACGACGCCTGAATGCATGAATCGAACCCAGCACCTTTAGTGTCACGCGCGAAAGCTTAAACCTGTCGAGTGTAAGGCAGTTAACTACCGAAGACAATGGATGAGGTCGCGCAATATCGAGGATTAATCGAAGTTGGAAATTAACACAGTTAGATGCTGGCTCAACGGTCTACAGTTTAAGCATTCGTGCGGGATTGTGAAAGTCCTGGGTTCGATTCTCACATATGGGTGTCGTAGATGCACACTGCTGATGCGTCTCATATTAGAGCTAAACAGCCATCTAGCATTTACAGATTTCTAATGGTGATCTAGCACTGATCAACTCTTGATTTCGATAAAAGAAGATTCTCTGTGTGAGTTTATGTCTTGTATTATGAATTTCGAAACAATGTTACTGCAAATTCCCCATTTAATTATAAAAATGAAATTTCAGAAATCTCGATATAAACCTACATAAGATAGTTTGTATGTGAAATTAATTAGATTGACATATTTTATTTGTTTGTGGGTTATTTATTCCATAAAAGTAACCGATTTAATTCTTACAGAGAAATTCATATGTAAATGGAGTGTATTATATTAAACCCGTTTTAACGAATTACTGTCTAAAAATAGCACCCACCACAGACCACGGACTTTAACAACTAGTCACTTTAAACTACACCATCATTCCGAATCATTATTTTGAACGAAATCCAATGAATATTTCACGTTCATTTCTTTAAACAGTTATTCTATTAGGAACGCCTTACTTTTATGACAGCTAATTACAAACATAGAATTAGAAGAAATAACAGCATAATTTCTTCAGATATTTGACCAGTCCAAAAACATTACATATACATGTTGTTATATGAAGAACAGACAATAAGAATACCTTAATTGAGGTTATTAAGCCTCAAGATATAACCGAAATGATATACTATCTATTTCTTCAATATGTTGCTCAGC